GTGTGTGTGTGTGTGTGTGTGTGTGTGTGTGTGTGTGTGTGTGTACGCTCACTTCATAAGTTTCTCTCTTCAGAAAGTACGCGTAGGAAAGCATATTCGTACGTATGTGATTAACTTTCTAGTCCGATTGTAACCGGAGAAAAAACCTTAAATTGTATAATCTAAACAGAAAAATCTTTCAAATTTAGAAATAACTGAGCTACTTTTTTTATTCTGAAATCTTTAATTACCTGATCATTCATATTTTAATGATATATGTATAGAAAAAAAGTTACACATTCTACTTTTTGTTTGCTTTCTCATGCTATATATAATTATATGCAAATAAATATAGTAATAAAATAATATAGTTTACAGAAAAAATAGTAATTATTTAAAAATAGGGAAGGTCCATAATAGAAATGGCAGAATTTAAAAGCATTTAATATGTTATTATATTGAAATTATGCGTTTCGCGGGTTATCTCCAAATCTTGGAATGCCAACGTTTCGTGAACATTGCAGTTCATTTCATCAGAACAAGGAGCAGCTTGATACTGAGCAGAGCAAATGATTATTGAGCTGTTTCTCCAGATGATATCCTTTATCCTGTTTTTTTTTATGATTCAAGAGAGGGATGAAAGAAGGAAAGTGGGAGTATAAGCTAAAGGGAGAAGTAGGGAATCGGTTAATTTTCGATGATGAGGAGAATGATCTTCCATATATTACTTATGTTATAGCCATTATTTTTAGATTATTAGGGTATTTTTGTATCTCTATAGCCTCTACATTTTCTTGGAAAAAGTGATCAACCTACAGGTAAAAGAACATAACATATCAAGTTAAAACACATCATCATTATCCAGTTAGAGAATCTTAAAGGGAGAGAGTAACAAACTGCATTACGTGATCTGTCTCCTCTGATTGGACGAGTATCAGAACTCCATAGGCATGAAAGAAATTGGAGAAAACTAGTCACGTGATCCTTGTCCTGATTAGACGTGGTCATTCATGTAATTTGCCATTCTCTTTGAGGTTCTCTAGTCAGCATTATCAGAATATAGCATTGAGATAGTACATCAAATATTGTTTGATAAGTCTGAATCTAGTGTTTTAAGTCTTAAATAAGCCATAAGAAAGTGACCAATTACAATCGAATGCGAGGAGAATAATTGAATATGATTCGTCCAGTCCATTTTCCTTATGGCTTAAGACTTAAAAATCTATTGTAGATTCAAAGTAAAGTGAACAATATAATAACCAACTACAATAGCCAATATTACCTCATACTTAGGAAAATATAAAGAGGCTATAGAAATATAAAAATACCCTAATAATCTAAATAAGATAATAACACATAAAGATACGTGCTCATGATGTCACTCTTTTACATTTACGTCAGGTAACAGCTCTAAGAGTTGAAAAAAATGTAAATTTCTAACTTTTTTTTCGATTTTAGTATAAAGTTCACTACAACACTACCATTTTGCATCTACTTTAATCTTAAAAGAATCGTAAAAGAATTTTTGATTCCGTTCAGTAAATTTAGAGATTGATCTACAAAATCCCGACAATTTAGATTGTGTTCCAAAATTCACTGTCAACGTTGAAAATCTACAATTTATGTTACATATATTATACAGTACTTTTCAGTCCTAGCAGTGAATTTTGAAATATAGCCTTGGTCACTCTAGCATCCTCTTAAATCATTGAAAATTGACCAATCATAATCAATTATTCTTCTCATTCGATTGTGATTGATTAATTTTTTATGATTTTAAGACTCTGCGACCACTTCTATTAGATCCCGTATAAAATACGGAAAATCATTCGATCATTGATGAAGATTAACTCCCCACTCCCTTTTGTCTACACCTCCCCCCCCCTCTCTCTCTCTCTCTCTCCTTTACCTCTCTCCGCTTCAACTCTCTTCTACCATAAAAAATCAGTATATATAAAGGGAATTATGGAGGCATCCTGGAACAACTCAGTCAAGTTGCTCTTCGCTCTGATGAAGTGAACTGAAAAATGTTGGCATTCTAAGAATGGATTTGGACATGGATATAATCTGCGAAACGTATAATTTCTGTATAGAAAGTGTCTATGAAAGTGCCTCATTGTTACTATATTCATTTTAGAATATCAAATACTTATATCGGGCTTGTAAGTTTGCTGAATGGTGTTTTGATTATGGATTACATCAAAATCGATCTCCTGATAGACCTTTTTCTTTATTCGAAGGTAAATTGAATTGGAAAAACCTAATTCGAAAATATATATAATATTTCAAGCATATTTTTACATAATGTTATGTATTTATTATTTATATTTTCAGGTCTTGCTGGTGTTATTTATTTTTTATTAGATATGCAACAATTACATTTAGCTAAATTTCCAATGTATGATATTTAAATAAAAATATAATTATTTAAACAGTCAATACATTTTTTGTATTATTAATACGTTATAAATATGTTATATTTAAACAATAAGAATTGTACTTTAAACAATAATAACGTACATTTGAAAATTCAACAATAAAAAATATAAATAATGGTCATAACGGTCAAAGCTAGATTTTAGCTGATTGCAGCAATTAATTTTATGAAGCAACATGATAGATATATCTGACTGATCACCGATTTAGTGGAAGAAAAGTTAAGAATTCTGAAAAGTTCGGATTTTTTATCTCGTTTTTTTGAGGCGGTGATTCGTAATAATATTGGTACGACAATAATGATTTTATTAAGATCAACATGAAATTAAATACTAAGTATAAGCATATTTAGGTCTATAACGATCGAAGCTAGATCTTTCAAAGTCTAAATAATTCAAAGTGAAATAGATAGAATACAATACCGTCATAGGCCTGAATATGCTTATACTTAATATTTAATTTCATGTCGGTCTTAATAAAATCATTTATTGTTTATACACGCTTTCTGCAAGAAGCGTTATTATTCTTACCGATTATTGCGAAGTTATATTATTACTAAGGCCTCGGTGGTCTAATGGCTTAGGACGCTCGTACGAAACACAAGAGATCCGGATTGAAGTTCCGGCCGAGGTAATATTTTTCCCAGTAAATTTATAATTTTTCAGCACATTCTTATGATATCGGACTGAAGATCAAAAATTATTATTAAAATTTGCTTGTCAATTTAACTTAACTTGCGATATTATTCCAATAGTTTAATTGCGTTTAAGTTCGGAAAAATTTTGGTGCACAATTTGAATAATTACAAAATATGATATATATGCATATATGTATATATATATAGTACATACTCAGATAGCCAAATCTATAGAAAGTAGCATTTTTTAAATGTTCTGCTATACAGTATGCCAACAAAATAACAACAGAATTAGATATACAGTTGACAGACTGCTAGAAAAAACATAATAGAATTTGCAAGCGTTAGATAATGTCGGCAGATAATGTCTACTCAATTTTTGCCTTCACATTATGTCGACAGGCGATGTAATAGAACACAAGCTTAATGCAGATGCAATTGATGGCAGACTGCCGTCATTTTCTGCTCGAACCTGCTGACAGTCTGCTAGAAGACTAGACATTTTGCTATCTGAGTATATATTGGGTATGAGAATAAATTTCCGCCCATTAGAGAAATATCGTTAGTAGTTGCTTGTGTAATAAAACTGCAATACATGTATTTGAAAGATATGTGTTCAAGCTTTGGAGTCCAGTAGCTGATATTTGTTCGAAGCGATTTGTTTGAACCAAGCTTTGAAATAAAAATGACCGGAATGGGACAATAGGCACGATAAGCTGATTCTGCTACATGACAACGCTAAACCACACATTGTAAAACCGGTCAAGAAATATTTGGAAGGAGTGAAGTGAAAAATTCTATCCCATCCGCCGTATTCACCGAACATTGTTTCTTCAGATTTCTATTTGTTCCGGTCCATGCAGTCCCCTTTCTGGAGAGCAATTCTTATAAAGATATGAAAAAATGGTTTGATGATGGGTCTCTTCAAAAACCAGATTTCTTCCTTCGAGGAATCCGTTTATTACTTGAAAAATGGAAGATAGTTATCGCTTCCGATGAAGCATACTTTGAAGTCACTTTGTATTGTTTGTTTACATCTTTTTCATTCAAAAAGGGCGGAAATTTATTCCATACCCAATAATTCGCTATTGATACGGTATTTGGTCATCAAAGACATGGCAGATCTTGAAAACTCGTCCGAAAAAGATCAAACAACAATATATCGTCTAACGTGTAGCGTGGGATTTTTATAAAATTTTGAAAATTAACAAAATGGCGGCACTTTGAAAATAGGATATCAGTTTTCACTATGAAAAGATTAACTTTAAACTTTTATAAAATACTGAAAAATTAAACATATAATAATATATAACACCTAAAAAAATTATTCAATTATATTAATAATTGTCTCAGAAAAATCATTTTAAAGTTCACCTGCTTTTTCAGCTTTTCAGGTTGGTGTACTCCCTTAAGACATTATTTAAGATAGTTTTAAAATAAAAACGGCCTAAGAATATATCGCCTTATATTTAGCGTTTCACAGATGATAGCCCTTCTTCCTTATGAACAGTTCATAAACAAAGAGAGCAGAGATTTAAAAAAAGACTGCCTAACTGCACATACCATGTTATTCCTTCCACTATGGTTATTATCTAAATTTTAAGTCTTAGTAAGTTAAGTTTTAAGTAGTAAGAAATTGACTAATTTTCTTGTAGCTTGAGTTAAAATTTAGATAATGACTTATAGAATGCCCAAGGGCGGCGAAGTAAAATTTTGTGTATGGAGAATAGATTGAGGGAGAGGAGAAGAAGGGAAGGGGGATAAATATATTTCCTCAAACATATCTTTTCTATATGGCAAATGTAGCCGCTGTAATTTTTTTTTTAAATAAAATTATTAATGAGCTCCATATTTAACTTGTCGACTATTTCTCGATAAATGTCGCAATATGATTTAAACGATTTTGTTTCATTGTCAATCGAAGATACTTTTTAAATGTCTTAAATAAGAAAATGACATTCGAACAAGTTGATGTAAGAATCATTAAAAGAACGCGAATAAATTTTACGTACAAGTTTACGTACAATTCTAGTACAAGATCTCTAATCTCGGAATTGTCATGTAAAAATTGCACTACGTCCTTCAAGCAATGCAGTGACATTTTTACTATATTTGTAATTTCTAAATTACAATTTCTAATTTCTAAATTTCTCTCCGATCAAATATACAGATATACAGAAATTCAAATATACAGAAATTCAGTGGAGTACTTCATATCAACCATACTGGAGTTACCGCTCATGCCCAGAGAATGCCCATTATTCTCTGCAGGAATGTTAGACCCATTTTATTCATTGTTAAACAAAATTAAACGCTGTTACAAAAAACATTCTCTATTCGGAGACGTCACTGCTTATTTGAAAAATACATGCAGTAGGAACAGGGAATAAGAAATTTCAATCTATCAGAAACTGTATTCTGTGTAGAATGCATGTTTTTTGACATAAGTATTAAATCTATTATTCCCTCATTACAAATAAATGCCGAGCGCATCTGTTATATAATGCGAGTATAACAATATAACGGTAATCTATCTTTGACATAATATCTGTTATACAAATGTGTTACATTAAGATTATGTTGTCGCCATTTTACTGTACAAGTACATATCAAAATAATGTAAACAGTTATTTCATAGCTATATAACAAACTATATTATATTAAAATATAAATATATAAATATAAAATATAAATAAAATATAAATATAAAATAATATCATATATTATATTATATTATTTTGGCAGAAGCCAATCAGAACTCGCGGAAAGAAGCAGACAAGCGAAATGTATCACCTACTACTACTATGAGTATCTACCTACTACAAGTTTCGATTGGTTTCCACTTTTCCGTCAAGGTGTGAACCCGGCCTAAAAGAGTTTTCTCCGTTTAAACCAGCTTAATGAAGTTAGTTTTTATAAGCATATGTATATGTATGTACATGCACACGCACACACACACAGACATCGATGGAATCCACAAAAGAAATAAATTTGCGCAACAGAAGAACGACGGAATGAAGCCATAACCAATCACGAACGTCCTGTAATTCTGCTTCCCAAAGCTCACTCTGAGATTGAAGATTGAATTTGACCAATCAAAACAATAGGAGCTAAAATTTCTTTGTCCTCATTGGTCAAATTTTAATTTTCAATCTTCAATTAATCTTCAATAGCTGTAGTCAAAGTCTCGCTACAAATGCTTTGAAGCATTTAATGGACCAATTAAAAGAAAGAATTTTATAAATTAACCAATTGAAAAACGTTTCAAAGCATTTGCAGCATCCCGTTGACCCAACATGTAAGGCCGGAATCAGACTACGCATTGAAGATTGAGATTAAAGATTAAAAATTGTAATTTCACCAAAGAAGTTTTGATTCCTTTTATCTTGATTGAACTTGAAGTTTGACCAATCGAAACTTCTTTGAAATTTCAATCTTTCAATCTTCAATCTCATTCTTCAATGCGTAGTCTGATTCCGACGTAATCTAATTCCGGCTTAAAAGAGGTTAAAGTGCAAAAAGTGCAAACAACACAAATAAATACGAACGGACTTATCGTTTCTTATATACACTGATCTCTTTCTGCTACGTGTGACACACATCACACACACACATACACACACACACACACACACACACACACAATTATATATAATTCGCATGCGTTCTACATATGTCATATATGTATGCACTAAGTACGTATATACATGAATAAATACACAACACATGTGTGCAACCGCATTTTTTCTAGCCATCAAATGTCTCACATAATCGGAATGTTAAGGGCCGATTAGAACTTTCGTTCCACAACAAAACTCACAAAATACGATTGCTTATGTGCACTATTTAGCTTTCATTTCATGCACATATGTATGCATATGTATGTGTATGCATATATACATATGCTGCACCTGAATAGATCTCGCATATATATGCGCATATATTTTTATAAGCCCTGCTCGCGGAATCGCGGAATGCTTTTATCCATGATTGATTGAACGTCATTGTTTTGTGCATACAATTATTCCGATTACCAATCTCGCCGATCCGACCGTTTATCTTATAGAGGTATGTTGGTAAAAATTGATAAGAATGAGAGAAGCGGAGTCGGTGAAAAGTGTTAAATTAGAAATTGTCGACAGAGCGTCGTAAGAGATTGCAATTTCGTGTGAGGAAATGTGTGATAACAGCTTTGCCGCATCAATATGATATTACACATCCACTTGGAGTGGACTGTGCTTGGATCGGCACAATTATGAAAAGAAGCTGCACGTTTCGCCCGAGAGTCCAATGCTATTCTGAGGGAAGTGCGGCTCCCGGGCTCGTATGTACGCTTGGAACAATTTATCGAATCCTGTGTACAGGG